TAAGTACCCCCCGTCCCCTCGAGATTGTGTTTAGTTGCTTCAGGCTGCAAAACCTTTCGAAACGGCACAACTTTTCTTTATTGGGCATCATAACTTGCGGTGTTTTAATAAGATTATTGCGGCCTGTTTTTCTCTCGAGAATCGGGGAATGGACTACGGGGCGATGGTTTAAGGCGAGAAAGGATTGGGACGAGACAAGGATACTTCAGCCCTTCCTCTCCCATGCTGCATTTTTGCATACGCAGGGAAGAGCGCTCGTGGGAACCAGAGATAACGCTGTGGCGCGCATAAAAAAGCCTCTGGTACTCAGGGTAAATAGGTATCCAATAAATGTGGCTGAGAACAACATTTATATTTCATCTCAAGTAATAGATCCCTTGCTGACGAAGGAGCCAAGATAAGTTTGTTTTTGTCAAACGCGTTTTGCTTGGGAGACTCTTAAAGTGTTAAATTGTTTCTTTCTTTCTAGAGCTTCTTGAATTCAGCAAGGATCGCCATCCTTGGGAGTCAGTAAAAGAGAAGCTTAACGCGATCAGGTATGAGTTGCTTGTTGTGTGTTTCGATGATTCGTCCGTTCATCCCTCTTTCCGTACCGCCTCTCTTCGTCCCTACCCCTGCCCTCCTGTCCTTACCTCTCTCCATCCCTCTCTGCCCCCTCTCCGTTTTCATTTCACTCATAGCTTCTCTCTCCATCCCTCCATCTTTGACTACCTGCCTTCCACCTCCCCCCGTCCCTCAGGCGCTACCTCACCACCGTCGTCTCTTTCTTTGTCTCTGCCATTTTCCCGTCTCTCCCTGCCTCCTTTCCTTTGTCTCTCGATTCCCCCAACCCTTCCTTCCTCTCTAAGTTCCTACCTCTCTCCCTTCGTACCCCACTCACTCCCCCCTTTCCTCACTCAACAAACTCACCAATGGCGTTTCACTCGCTCACTGTATTTCTCTCTGGTGTGATTTTGGTTTTTCTTTGGCTGCAACGATTGTCCTTATTTCATTTCCTTTTTCAGAGACATGATGCGAAAAATGGTAAAAGAGATGAGGGCTGGTAGAGAATGAAGAGCTGCTAGTCAAGATGGTTCCAATACGATTGTTTTTCTTGTCGAGTATTTACAACATCTAGTCAACAACAACATGGCTTTTTTAACTTCAAAACAGGAATAAATGAAAAGTTAGCTGAAACTATTTGGTTGTTATGGCAGTCAGTGGAGTAAATGTCGTTTGCCGAATCGGAATTCAACTAATC